GATGAAGCTGTGAGCAAAAAGTATTCAGATACAAAGCTGAGCAAGGCAGGTGGTACAATGACAGGAAACCTTGCAATGGGTGCCAACAAAGTCACTTCTAGTCATACAGCCGCAGCCGACAGCGATCTTGTGAACAAAAAATTCGTCGAAGATCGATTGGCTCACAACTTAACTCCAGCTCAGCTGAGTAACGACCTCTCTTACATCATGAGTCGCAACGGTCAGTTCTCTGACGAAGATGATATAACAGGAAAACCGATCACTGACCAGCTTGTTCTATACCCCAAAAATCCCAGAACAAAACCGTTTGATTTAAGTCTCGACACTTCCAAGGGTTATTATTCATCACGTTTTGGTGTAAATATGTATCCAGCGGATCGGGCAGAATACACTGTCGTCTGTGAACTCTGTTGGCAATCGAGTAAAGTCGATTCAAGCAGTGTGACATTGACAGCAACATCTTCTGTTGAAACAATCTCTACTCAGCGCAGCAATCGATTTGAAAATCACATCGTCGCCTTGATTCACATGACTAAATGGAGTAACGCAACACCTAATTATTTGATGTTTGACGTAGTGATCAAAAACAAATCTGGCCAGTCTTACGACCAGAAACTTCCCATCTGGGTGATAGTCTATGGATCAAAGGGTTATCACAACAGCGTACCGAAATCTGTTTGGACAAGTTGGTACAGCTTTGTGAGTGGTGGGGTTCAAATAAATTCTGCGCTTACTCTCGCAAAACAACCGTCTGTCGCCACTTCAGCGGTAACGAAAAAATATGTTGATGATATTCAAACATCTTTACAGACAAAGATCGATTTGAAAGCGACAAAGACGGCGCTGACAAACGCAACAAAAAAGATCTGGTATCGAGGAAACTGCGCTCATAACAATGCATCACAGGTAACATTTTACGTAAATGGAACATCAGATCATACCACAAATGTATCACAGAGTGATAACGCTGATTTCACAGTGAACAGATCAGACAATACAAAACTCATAATCAATAACGCTGGTGCTTATCTGATTACATACATCGACGGTGTCAAGTCTCAACATCTATCACATCTCAAGTTTATCTTGAGCAATTCGTTCGTGAACACAGCAAACGGTATATTGGTGGCGCTGCCCAACACAAGAAGTGCTTGGACTAATACGACTAATACCGTTCTGTTGTATTTCCAAGCAAACACATCGCTGAGCATAGCGACAGATAACAGCAATACACAACTCGATGGACTGGATTACAGCTATCTGATGATTGTGAAGCAGGATTGATTCGAGAGGGTAAACCCCCTCGAGCTCCCCCTTGATGTGAAAATTACTAATTTTTTTTATTATGATGTGTTCATAATAAAATGACTGAAGTATCTATTTTCAACTTTAACCACATTGACTATTCTATAGGAGATGAGAAGATCGATGAACTCAAAGCTCTTTACAAACACTATCACAAGAAGTGGTGGTGTTCGAGAAAGATCTTCAAGAACTTTAAACGAAAGAGTCTTCTCTGTAACTTGGGAAGCACTTTACTAATTGTTATCGGAGGGATAGCTGGAGGGGTAACCATGAATCCAATCCCGCTTGCTACAATATCAGGTGCTGGTCTCCTTCTCAAAACATTTACCGATGTAAAAAAGTTTGACGGAAAGATTGATATGAGCAAATTCGCCTTCACAACCTATGAGAAGATCTTGACTGAACTGCGGTCTTATCTGAGAGGAAGACCGTTCGACAATGCATCGTTTCTCAATGAAGTAAGACTTATCGATGAGACAATCATTGATCTGTGTCCAATCCTTCAATCAACCAAAGTACTCAAGCAATATGAGACACGCTTTTCGAGGGAAGAGATCAACAAAGTACACAAGCCATATGAGACACGCTTTTCGAGGAAAGAGATCATCAAAGTCGTCTTGTCCGCCGATGATGACAAGCGAATCGTTCTTCCAGACAAAATAAACACACACGCAATAGGATATTATCAGGATTTGACTGAGATTTGACAGAGATGCGCCAAAATGGCCTAGAATAGCCTCTAAAAATATTTGACTGTAATTCTGACGCATTTCCGTCAGAATTTTGACTAGAAATTTTAGAGGCTATTCTAGGCCATTTCCGCCAGAATTACAGTCAAAAATTTCGACTGTAAATTTGACTGAGATTTGATAGAGGTACGCCGAAATGAGCTGGAATCGGTGTGATATGAAATTTTTGACTGGGGCAATTCAGTCAAAATATTTGACTAGAATTTTTGACTGGGATTTTGACTGTAATTCTGGCGATTTTCAAAATCCGCTAGAACCCGCCGACCNCAAAAAAACACTTTTGGTGTAATCTATCTGCTGAGGCCATCCCACAATAAAAATAAAATTTATTAATTAATCACGGCCAAACTGCCAAAACAACCTCAGTACAATGAAAAGTTTGTCTCATACTGATGAACGAGTTAGTAAAATTTATACATAGATACCTTGATCCTCACAATCCTTGACAAATAGTGCGTGCGATGACAGTGTAATAAATAAGTAAATAAATAAAACCCGTGTACGAGATACTAACTCGACAAATAAACAGAAAAGGAAGAAACAGTTTGTGAGGTATTAGTGTAACAGTCTCACAGGTATGGATAGAAACAGCAGTCCACGAGACATTAACATAATAAACACAGAGAAAAAGAGAAAACCGTGTACGAGATGCTAACGTAACAAACAAAGAGAAAAGGAAGGGAAACAGTGCGCGAGATGCTTACGTAACAGTCAAACAGGTATGGACAGAAACAGTACACGAGATGCAAACATAAACAAAGAGAAAAAGGAAAAACAGAGCACGAGATACTAACGTAACAAACAAAGAGAAAAGGAAGGAAACAGTGCACGAGATGCTAACGTAACAATCAAACAGACGTGATAGAAAAAGTGCACATGATACCAACGTACAAGCAAGCAGCAACGGAAAGAACCAGTGTACGAGATACTAGAGTAACAAAATGGAGTAATGCAAATAGGACTCGGTCTCTTATAATATGCATGCAAAAATTTCAGCTTGCTCATTGGTTAAGGACGTGTCAATTTATCCCAAACAGTGCAGATAGTTGAAATCAAATTGACTGGCAGGAAAGTCGCGAAAGCAAAAGGAAAGCAAACTGGCGTAGAAGTAACGAAGGAACCGGAGGCCCTGAACAAACTTCTCTCGGAGTTTAAGGACTTGATTGCCTTCGTTTACCAGTTACCGCTCTTGAGTAAAGCCTAACTGAGAACGAATACAAGTAGTCAGTTATTCCTGACGGAAAGTTTAAAAGCTCGAGGCGAACTCATGCGGGAAACCCCGTCGACTCCAGCAACAATACGAAGGCAAGCGGTCGCACCAAGTGCTGTTAGGGGAAAACAGAGTCAATTTTTCCAACTTTATTTTTGAAAAACAATCACACAAGTCTTTCTCGTGTAATTTTGGAATAAATCAACACTCGTACGTTTTTCAAAGACAAAAAGTTGTACTCGCCTTTTGGGCTTGTGCAATTTGCCTTTGAAGAATTTACTTGTGTTGAGTTATCCCAAATTGCGCTCGAAATCATGCGATAACGTATAATAATCATACCTCA